AGACCAGAGATCTGTCGAGTCTTCAATGGTATGACTCCAGAGCTATAGTTCCCGCTAAAGACGTGTTTGACATAAACAACAATTTTGAATAACATTATAAAACTTTTTAAAGAATTGAGTAAAATAAATATAAGATTTGCAAAAATCCATAAAATAGATACATTTATAAAAAAACCATAATCTAGTAATAATTTGTTTTATTGAACATATATGCTAAAATTTTAATGTGTATAAATTAAAATTATGTTTGGTAAATTTCAAATAACTAAAATTTATTAATATTACAGTTATTATTATTATTATTTAATTACCTAAATTCATGTTTTGCAAACAAATATATATTTTGAAATCGATTTATAGGTGTATTTACCGTAGTATATACTAATGCCTAATACATGTAAATTATATTAATTTATATTTCACTAAATATTTAATTTATTCACTTTAACATTTCACTATGTAGTAATATTTCAAACATTTCACAAGCTTTACATAATCAGATGCTAATTACAATCACTAAAATTTTTAATTATAAAAATGATTGGTTCAAATTAAGATAACAAATGTTCAAAAATAGAAGTTTGAGTGAATTTTTAATTTTTATTATTATTAAAATCTATTAAATGAAGTAAACAATGGTTATAATGATTACAGTAAATATTTATAGTTTAATATAATAATAGAATATAAATCAAAGTCTAGACTTTAGAGTAAAACATAAAAATATTATCTAAACATAAAGTTAAAAAATAAATGTATAAAATTTTTAGTTGAAAATAACAACTTATAAAATTATAAAAATAAGTTTAAGTAAATTTTTATATAATGTAAACACAGAATAAATTATTCATTAAGAGCATCAAGGACTTCTTGGCCAATTTTCTCGGACGCCACGGCAAATGGACATTCATCCACTTTCACGTAATCAATGGTATTAGATTGATCCTGATAAAACATCAATTTGCAAATATACATAATCAATACTTGTCAATAAATAATCACATAACCTAATAGTATAGCAATACTTACATCGAGTTGATTATCAGGCAAAAAGTACAGATCCTTTGCCTTCTGGAGGAAATCGTGTTCGTCTTCAATGTTAACAAACTCGAAGGGTTTAATGACGACCAGTTTGCCCATCCGTTTGGCCCAATTGCGGGCAATACTGGCCTTCAATTTGGCAACATTTCGCTTCTTCGCGACGCGATGTGTGGACAAGAGTTTAGCCCTTTTGAATGCGTTCCGAATAATCGCTTCCAGATCTGTGGCCACCAGTCCTTTGCCGGCAAACTCTCTGATCTCAGCGCAGGCGCGACGTATGCGGCCGTCGATGTCGGGCTCGGTCTTCATGTCTCTGTGGATCTTCTCGCGGAACGACTCCGGAATCTCATACGATATGAACTCAAATATAAAATCCAATATATACTCGTCGGTCACAAAGTCCTCGTTGAAGCGACTCTCGGACAGCACGTCGATGATCACCGCCCGATCCACTCGCGCCCGACGCAGCAGTTTTGTGCCAATCATAGCGCCGTCAAAATATCCCACCACATCGTACCCACCCTTCGGCTCGAGCTCGTCCAGTAATTTAGTGAAATGAGCTTGGTACTCTTTCAGCGTGTTGAAATTGTCCAACTCTCGCGTCCAATTCAGACCAATCACAGGCCGATCAATACGGCGGCCAAACTCCTCAAAGTTACGGAACCCGCCGTCAAATGTGGGCATGAAATACACGGGCCGTCCGGTAGTGACCTGATTGATGCGTGTGATCCGTTCGCTCGGTATAATAAACCGGTAGCGCATTAATTTGGCCCTGGCCACTTTCACGTCGTCCACATAGCGCTTGATGTTCTCCACCCGACCCGCCTCGTAGTCCTTTAGCATTTTGATCGTAATGTTCTTCACGTGATTAATAGACATCTTGATATTCCACTCCCTCTCCAACTCCTGTTGCAACTCAACGGCAAACATCGACTCCATACCGATCTCGCCGAGAGTCAAGTGATCGGGTGTAGTGTCCGGGTCTATACCCAACGCTCGCCACAACTCTTTAACCATCCGTTTCTGTCGATTGCCACCGCTTTGAACTGCTCTCTCGGCTCTAATCTGTAATGATTTGTTGTAGTGTTAATAATTTTTTAGAGAGAGAGAGAGAGAGAGAGAGAG